GCTGCGTTCCTCCAGGCTGTTTCTTGCCCTCTGTAGTGGAGGCACCTCAGGTGTTGGCTTCCCCCAGGGGTTTAACGCTTTCAATGAGCATTTCCACCCCATAAAATGGTATTTCCTCACATGCCTGTTCATGTCCATGGCTGCTGATGTACTTCCTCACACCTTGATGGAGATGGTCTCCTGAGGTGGTGATCACTTCCAGAGAAGATCTAGAGAAATGCAGCTCTGTGCTGGCATCCTACACCCCATAGCGTTGTGGGATAGGGTCCACATACCCTTACGTCCACCATATCCCCAGTTCCTTTTTAAGGCATTTGGTTTTAGGTGTCACACACGCTGCATATTTTTTTGGTGCCTCCTGCCATACGCTTCAGGGACACCCTTGGCTCTTTTATTTTGATGGCAATTGAAAATCAAATTGGCAGAGCTGTCCTGCTGCAGGGATTTCCTTGGATCAATCAGGCCAACCTGTGAGGGGAAGGCGTGTATCAACCGCTGCAGCTCCTACTCCGGACTCGTGTGCCAAGTGCTTGTTGTTTCCCAGTACAGGCACCTCTCCTTGAGATCCCACCGGCCTCCTTGCTAGCCAGCAAATGCACAGGGCACGTGGGAGCCAGCCTCAAAAATACCTGTGTTTTGATGCAGACAACTCAGAAGTGGTTACCTCGGAAGGGTAATACCAAACTGGAGAGAGCCGAAGGCTGCCCCAGCCATTGAATTTCCCACCTCAGCGCTATCCCCAGACCTCCATCCCTCAAATCCACCCGCTGTTCGTCCTGTGGTTCCCGATGTTCTGTAGCTTTGATGTCTGCTGCCATAAGGTGACCCACCGATCAGTTCACTGCCTTCGAGCTCCGTCTAACAAAGCATCGTTCCCAGCAAGGCTAGAACACCGTGTGAGTATCAAATAAAGCGCAGTTTATTTGGCATAGACCGAAATGAACCACAACAGAAATTGAACAGAGCCTGGTTGCACAAACGCGTGCAAGTGCAGTTAAGAATCTCGGTTACAATCGAATGGCGAAGCAAGGTAAAATACACTGCAGAAACTCTCCCCTTCCCACCCGAGACATCGTGGCTCGCTGATGCCTTGTACCTTTCCTCTTTTAATCAGATGTCAACACAACTACAGTTGCATTTCTCAGTTGCAATGAATTTGGTTAGGAAATCAAAACCAACTAATCTCTAGGCTTCTTCCAAACACTGCTCGTGCTTCAAAGAACTAAGGGAGCCTCTTTTAAGGCTTTCAAGCTGAATATATGAACCCCGTGTATCAAACAGCTAATACTTTGAGATCTGTCAAAAAAGTAAGGAGCACACAAGTCTTTGCTTTATTAAATTCCAGAATTGCCCTCTACGCTTTTCTCAACGCTGGCTGAAATGTGACAAAAACATACGAAGATACAGACCAAACCGAACTAACTGAAACAGCCCGAGAGATGCAAAACGCACGGGTCCGGTCACCCGCTGAGGCTGGCCGAGCTGTGACACGTGTGCGTCAGCTGCGGGGGAACGGGAGGCTTCAGGACACAGGATCCTGCGGATGATGCCAGAAACCCCATCGGTTCCCGAAGCCAGGCTGGACAGAGCATTTCAGAACATAACCACTAGAAATGCTTCCGTAGCTAAAACCCAAGTTTGATTAAATGAGGACTTTCCTAGATTCATCTGTACAATTCAGCAAATCCCCAGTCATTCATGTCATTCAAAGAAAAATACTTATTTGTTCCCTGACAGTGTAATGACCTAAGAGTTATTTACTCCAGTTATTCCCTATAAATACTCCTAGTTTATTTACAGATTTCTCTAGTCTTTTAGGCATTGTATTTTCAAAGATGAAGCCAAAACTCTGCAGTGAAGGAGGTAAATTATGTGAAAATGTTTGCTCTACAACGTCAACTGTGCTTTACTCCTGTGTTCACCTGTAGTTTGAATTCGTGGTGGTCTAGGTGTTGTGCCATTTTAGGGTCAGTCACCAGTCACTGCTGCCTGTGACAGAAGTAGTTTCAGCACTAGAGATCAGTTACTGGCCATGCAGGGCTAACTTCAAGTGAAGCCACCTATTCTAGCCAGAACCACGGGGAATAAAACACCTCTGATAACAGCACCCATTAAAATATTCCCATGTTATGGAAAAATTAGATCAAGAAATCTTTTAGCCAGAATTGTTCTTTATCAAACACACAGTTGGAAAACATGTATGCAAACACCTTTTTTTTTTTTTTTTTTCTGTCTGATAGCCTCACTCACTGTAAAGGATGGACCCAAACTAAACAGCCACAGACTTCTGCTATCCAGTTATGGAACAACTTGAGAATAACTTCCAGAGAGAGGTCAGGTTTAGAATCTAAAGTAATGGACTTCATGCTACAACAGACTCCTTTCCCTCAATTTCTTTAAAAAAACAATCTTCAATGTCCTTTTGAAAATATTTTGTCTCCAATTACAACGGACCAAATATTTTCAGTACATTGTGGACTGTTTTAAGTTCTGTTTGTACACTTATTTATTAAACCTCAACACAGTTGCAGAACTGAAAAGATTGACTTGATCTAAATACCAGATCAACAAGCAAGAACTCGTTTTGAATGACAGTGCTAAGTGGACAAAATGCTAAACTCGCTCTCCTCAGCCCTTCAGAACGCCACAAAACTCCAGCTGCACCTAGCAACAAAAAGACATTACTGATTCATCGTGTGTGCTGAGTTAATTCCAGCAATGTTAAATTATGGATCAAGTAGTTTGATGCCTAAGGAGGCAACGCAGCTCCCCATTCTCCACGGTGCGAGTTCAGATCCAAGCACTCGGATTCTGCCAACTGCAGAGCCTGGAGTCAGGGTAAGCCCCTCTACAGCACTTACCTTTATTGCTGCATTGAAATGACCTGTGAAGCTCCTAACCTGCTTTTCTTGCTGCAGCAGGTCACAGAAAGTGAACTGGATAGCAGTAGAGGACTGCATTTCAAAAACCCTCATTCAGGTGCTAATGAACCGCTACTGTATCCGCCTACGGACTGTGGTTACTTGCATCAAAGCTTGCAGGTTAGTGTGAGGTAGTAAACCATACCCTATCCTGTAACCAGACTATTCATATTTAATGGTACCTCAAGAATTTTAACTAATGAGGAAGATAAAAAAACCACCAATGTGACTTTTTACTGGAGAAACAAAAGAGGAAGAAAAATGCAGGTGACAAACTGAAAAATAGGGAAAGGGAAGAAGTGATCTGAAGCTTTATTATAGAATACTAGTTTTATCATATTTATTTATACTACACAGCTGGGGAAATAACTATCCACAAATGACAGTCTGACGGACAACACCTGGATAACTGTACAGCAAAAGGCCAGAGAGCTCAGTTATCCTACAGGTTCCCCTCTGTAGTAGTATAAATAAACTATACGTCACGGGCAGTTGGATACATGATACTTTCATTCATTAAGGATGACCAGGTACAATCCGCCGATATTTCCATTTCATGTCACAAGGCTTATCCCTAATTTATGAAAATAAAGCATATATATTTTGTACATTTATATATATATATATAAATATATATATATAAAATAACACACTGCCGGTCAACTTACCACGCGTGCACACACACACACACCTATGTTGTACACACTCATCCAGTAGCAACATGTTTGATATCAATATTATATTTTGTGTACACACACCCTACATCTAGTAAATAAGAAAATCCCTTTTATGGCAATTCTGCAGGCAAAATCAATACAAAATACTTTGTTGTACAAAACTGCATTTTTACAAGATCAACCAATATTGTAGCATACCCCTCGAGAATGCACTACGTGTCTACAAGAAAAAAGAATCAAATCTTTATACAATTGTAACCAAAAAAAAGAGTAAGCTGCTCTGCAACCTTCCTTTGCTAAAAGTTAGATACATTACAACATCCTAGCAGCAGATTAATAAATAAGGATTAAATAGTCTATTATACAAAGGCCATACTGAATGGCAGATTTAAAAACAAAAAGCTTTGCAGATACTTTCACTTCCTACACAAATCATTTTTATTAAGAATAAGACTCAGTATAAAACAGGGAAACAGCCAGCACTCTATATCTATATCTACAGAATACAGGAAAAATCCAAGGGAAGTAAAATATTTAACAGTTTATGGCACCTTTACGGCATAATGTTATTTTAAAGGCTCTGTTTCCCTATAACTAATGAGTAAAGGACTATTTATCTCATAGCTTTTATTAAGCAAACTTGATATAACCAACCACACAGTGGCAAGAGACAGAACCAGCTGTTCCCAGCTGCAAAAATGTATTGATTTCTACCCTAAAACAAGATCCTTTAGGTGTCAAGAAAAGAACCAGGCAGTCCCAGTCCAGCTTGCCCCGAGTTTGATCAGGTCTGTTTCTTTCCACGCTGCTCCTCGTGGGGCTGCTGCTGCTCAGTAGCTGTTCTCGTGGCCGGCCAGGATGTAGAGGTTGCTGTGGGCCGTGGGGTTGTCGGTCGGCCTGCTCTCCAGCACCACCACCCTGCACGAAGAGCAAAACACAAGCGACACCCACAGTGGGCAGCGGCGACACGGGACACGTGTGGCTTAACTGCCAACACCCAGGGAGAACAAATAGGTCCCTCACAAGTGTGTAAAGATGGGAGGGATACGGGTTCTCCTAAGTATTCTCCTAAGTATCAGCTCTGCAGAGAGGGACCTGGGCATCGTGGTGGATGACAAGGTGACCATGAGGCAGCAGTTGCCCTCGTGGCCAAGAAGGCCAATGGGATCCTGGGGTGCGTTAAGAAGAGC